GCCGCCCCTGCCCGTGCTGGGACCCCAGGCCCCCTCCCTGTCCCCAAGCAGGCCCTTGCCTTCACCCCCTTCTCCCCACCCAAGCGCCTGCGGCTGGGGGGCAGCCACGGATCGACCTGGATGTCAAGGGCGAGGGGCCATGATGGCCAGGACAGGCGAGGCCACGATGGAGGGGTCTGCCTGGCCTTCCTTCTGGGCCTCCGGGAGCCGTGGGAGGGCCTGACCCTTGACCCAGCACGGCTGACTGCTGACTCCTGAGCCACCCCCACCCGGCAGGGAGCCCTGGCCAGGGCTCTAGGAGCCCCCGCTGCCCCGCTGCCCTTCGCCCCCAGGGAGCTAAGCCATACGGGGCGGGCCGTGCAGCGCGGAGGAGGCTCAGGCAGCCAGCGCTGTCTGAGGCAGAGGGGTGGGCAGTCCTTAGGCCTGGGCCCCCACCTGGGCTCAGGGAGTGCGGTGCGACCTCATCTAACGGTGCTATCCCTAGTGCTACCGGCGGGTGCCTCCCGCCCACACCAGGACTGGGTTTGTTGGGGGATTGGAAGCACTTGAACTTTTTATTTTATTAAAACCTCGTTACAGAGCACTCATGGAAGCTTTCTTGTTTGGGTGTATGTCCAGAGCCCTGCTGGAAAGACAGGGAGGTGAGGAAGCACTGAGGCAGGAGCTCGCCGTCCATGCTGGTCTCCTGGGAGATGTGCACCCCTGCACTCAGCCTGACCAGGTCCCAGGTGGCTCACAGCGGCAGCCCCCCCTGTCTGACCACCACAGCTGGGCCCTACTTTGGCTTTGCCGTTGCCCGAGTGTGCACAAAGCCTGCTCCAGGTGGGGCGGCAGCGCTGCCGGGCCTCCAACGCTCTCTCCAGGCGGCAGGGTGCAGAGCCCTTGACACAGTGAGCTGCCCCAGTGCCCACAGGTCAGAGGCGGCCACACATCCACATGCCTCCCCCGGTAGGACTGTGAGACAGCCCTGCTTGGGCCAGAGGAGAGGGAGCTGGCAGAGGACAGGGGTGTGTGGGCTGAGGGACAGTGCAGGCTGAGCCCTGGTCCCGGGCAAGAGGGGGTCAGTCGATGGCGGGTAACTCTTTAAGCTTCACTTGTATACTGGCTAAAAATGGCCTGTTTCATTCCTTTTGCAAAGAGAAAATTCCTCCTTAGAATGCAGACTCCACTGGGGCCAGCAGGTGGTTTGGTGGTAAAGGGTGCTGGACTCCCACATGGCTTACTGTGGTTCGAGTCCTGGACCAGGAGGTTTGCTTTCCCACTTTCCCTCTCTCTCACTCTGCCCCTCTCTGGTCAAATTGAAAAAGAAAGGAAGGAAGGAAGTTAAATAAGATCATTCTAAAAATAAACAGACCCTACTAAACCTGTTTTCTCAAAGTCAGAAGGGAGTCGGCTCCATGTTACCCCCCACGCAACGTGAGGGCACAAGACCTGCTGTGCAGGCACGCACACACCAGCTGGAGCGAGTCGGTCTGAAAACGCAGTTTCTAGACAGTGACAGCAGGGAGTTCTAGAGGGGCTCATGGTGGATGCTGAACTTCCAGAGCCCATGAGCTGTCCCTTTTCACGTCGTGTGTACTCACACGTGCTTTTTCTGCATGGGTGTTAGAGCCTTGTGGCATCCCCAGAGGTGTCTGCTAGTCCCCCAAAGGGTCGAAAACCAGTGGCCAGGCCACTGGCCTCCCCTGCTGCCCTCTGAGCAGCATCTGCCTGGGTCCAGTTCAACACAGGATGGTGAGCACATCCGCCCACAGCCCAAAACGTCTCTGCACTGCCCATGTCCCTGCAGGCCAAAGGGCACCTGGTCTGGGACCCACTGGGCTGGTGACTCAGGGTTGGCGAGGTGGAGAACCCAAGGCTGGTGCTGAGAGTCCCCTCAGTGCACTGACGTCAGCACAGCCCTGTGAGGGCTGTGGGCTCAGGACAGGTCGGGGTGCACATGCCTGCCCCAGGTACCTTGGCTGTGCTGGGGGAGCCCCCGGATGCCTGGGTTTGCCTTGACCACGCCACAGGGAAGTTTGAGGTTCATGTTGGCCCTGGCCGCTGGTAGGAGCAGGTCCCCAGAGAAGAGGAAACTGGGAGAGGCCCGAGAGCCCCCAAGCTGCTGGCAGAGCAAGACCAGGAAAGTGGAAGAGCTGAAAGGCCCGGAAGTCCCCGTGGTGCCTGGTGCCAGTGCTGGGAGCCTGGGCTCTGGCTGTGCCGCCCGGGCCCCCTTGTTCAGGACAGCCGACTGTCCTACAGACATGGCACCGGAGTCGGCAGTGGGCACGTGCTGGGCAAGACCAGGACATTGGGACACAGAGCAGTGGAGCAGAGGACGCGAGGAGGTGGGGAGGCTGGCTGCGGCCACGCAGGTGTGGGCCTGCTCCTGCACTGCCCAGCTGATCTCAGCGCTCCTCAGACAGCCACCAGCCCACCCTGTGAGTCAGAGGACTCGTGCCCGCTCTCCTCCTCCCGCAGCTCTGGTCCCAGACCCAGAGCTGGGAGGACAGACGGTCAGGGGCATGCCCGGGGACAGGCAGCATGAGGGATGGCTGCTCAACCAGGCAGGCAGTGGCAGGGAACCAGCCCCTCCCAGCTCACCCAGCCTCTCCTGCCCACCTTTCCTGCCATCTCAGGTTACAGCTGGGGAAACAGGTCTACACAGTCAAGAGCTTGTCCAGGGCCACCCGGTACACTGTCGGTGATTAGTCATGTCACCTTTGCACCCAGGAGTTGAACATGGCCACAGACCACTGCGGCCAGTCTGGGGGTGCCTGCTTCTGAGATCACCCCGGTTTCCCAGGAGGCTGATGACCCCAGGCAGTGATGACCCAGGCCAACCCTCTGGGCAGGGGCAAGACAGGGTAGAACCTTCGGCTCTGTGAAGGTCACTGCTCAGCCTGGGGTCAGGCAGGACATGAAGAGGCACCTAGGACCAGACGCGCCTCAGCAGCAGTGAGTAATTCAGTGGTGCCCTGCGTGTCCTCGAGGGCGCACCGCAGTCCAACGGGTCAGCTGGAGAAACAAGTGATGCAGTGCGGAGGGACCGGGCAGCATGGGGGGG